AGACGGGGTGAAACTTGCTGAGCCGCACTGGTCTCACTGTGCAGACAGGAGTTACACACACACAGGGAGGCAGTTTGTATCTTCACGGGCTTGCTATAACACAGAAGCTTGGGATTGGGAATTTCATTTGCACTCGAAACATCCCCTCCTTGGCCTGACCCTATGCTCCAGGGAGCACCGAGCAGCTCAGAGGCAGCACAGGCTGAAGTGGGGAAGGGCCACGTGAACCAAGGGCTGTTGTAACATTGCAGATGAGGATCCACAGAGATGCTCAAGTCAGGACACTGCAGCATTTGGGGGCTGTCTCAGGCCACCAGCAGCAAATGCCAGCTGGTAGCCATGGCCTGGCAGCCCCCAACAGCCCCTCCAGTGCTGTACATCCCTGCAGCCAGTGCCTGAAACCCTGCCTGGCCCCCCTGCTCCCCCACAGCGGCTGTCACAGCATCCTGCACCATTCTGCTTCCTACTTCCCCAGCCTGGAGGCATCAGGATGTGGCCGGGCACCCCACGATGCACCAGCTCACACCTTCTCCTGCTGTCATGCAACGTGCTGGTTCAAGTCTCAAAAAATCCAAGGAAACAGCAAACTTGAGCAGACACTGCAAGCGTTTACCAGGAACCACAAGCAGCAACGCACTGACCCTCCGCTACCTGCCAAGCCGGGGAGAGCCGGGCTGAGCTGGGCAACATCCACCGCCAGTTCAGGGAAACCAAGTGCCAGCAGGACCAGGGCATCCCCAGCTGCAGAGCATCGCCACAGCTCTGCATCCCCTACCCACACCTGAACAGTGGCTTTCTACCCAGGCCAAGTTTAACCTTGTAAAAAGATGCTCATGTTAATAGTTTAGTGGGGCATAACTTATGGAACAATATTGAGTTATTTATGTGACTGGGAAGGGAATAAACAGGAGTGTTTCTTACCTGGGTAGGCTCACATGTTGTCGCAGTTAACAGGCGCAGCGTCCGCAGTGAACTGGGCAGCAGGAAGGGCCCATCATGAGTTTGCAGATTCTCTCCAGCTCAATGCTGATGGATGCTCCACTGGCTCCCACCTGCTCGTCTCGGGCTCATGGAGAAGTGGTACAGGGTGTTTTGCAGGCATTGAGCTGTGCCTGCAGGCTCGTGTGGCCCCATCAGCCGTCAGAGGTAGCGCAGGGAAGGCTCGTAGGTGCAGGAAAGAGAAAACACGAGGGAAAATGGTCTGAGCTCTGAGAGCAGGAAACTTTTCAGTGCTAAATCCAGAGAAACAGGGAACCAGGCAGACACCTTGCCTGGCAAAAAGGAACAAAGCACGTGAAGCGAGCACCAGCACCCCCAGGCCAGGATCTGCACTGCTCCCAAAGCTAAGCTTTGTTTAGCCCTGCCAGAGCTACGTTGTGCGATGTGCAAGTTTTAAGCTAAGATTTAAGTGGATGGGGGCCATTTGAGACCTCACCAGTCAGTAGGACTGCAAGTGAGGGCAGCCCCTCTCTACAGACCTCATTGCTGCAAGGGGTGTCCCTGTCCCTGCACCCCGCCGGGCTGCGCCCACACTCGCCCCTTCGCGTCCTTCTGCCGTTCTTGTGCTTCACAGCAGCATCTCTCCAGCTGAGGGCACATCTCACCCTGGCATGGAACGTGACCCAGCAGCACCAGCTGCATCGTGGCAGGCACTGGGCATCTGCCCACTGCACACACTGACCCCCAGTGCCCAAACTCAATAATCCTGAGACCACAAAGAACCAGTGATGTTAAAAAAAAAGACTTTTTAATTGTACATCAGACATATTAATTACAACTTGGATATAACGAGAGTTGGTTATTACAAGCAGCAACCTGAACTCATAAATCTTTAGAAGGTGCACAGAGTCATTATAATATCTATTACAGCTAATGCAAAATATACTCTGCAACAAAAATATTTTTAAAGGCTCCACATTCAATTCTCAGCAAGAGGCCAGGAGGAAAGGAAAGGGAACAGAGAGGGAGAGGAGAGGAACCAGGGCCACATGTTGTGGGTGCTCCCATGAGTGCAATGTCCATTGGCACATCCCGCGGGAAGAACCCCGCTCAGCCCTGGCATGGCTCTTGGCAGCCCCCGGCCCCCCAGGCAGCAACTCGGACAGTAACAAGGGCTCCATAGGCACTCATGAAAGGGAAATACTTTAAGCGATCCTTTGGTGACAAAGCAAAGGCAAGGATGGGGAGCGACCCAGCTGGCTGCAGGAGCTGCAGCTCTCCCTGCCAGGGATGGGAGGTCCTGGCAGCACGTCTCCCAAAAGGACAGGGTGCCTCTGGAGGTGCTCCCCTCTGGATGAGCCGAGATGCAGACCCTCAGGGTGCCAAGCACCTCTCCCCAAGGCACATCTGACCCTGCTCGGCTCAAACCATCTTATGGTTGCAGCTGGACAGAGCCTTGTCTCCCGGACCTTGCCCCGCACAAGAGGCCAACAGCTTCTCCAGTGAGCGCAACACTGGGCAACTCGTCAGAAAGGAGTTAAAATGCTTTTACCTGTCGAGCCAAATATTCAGGCTCCTAGTATGGGCACTGAAGCAGCTTGTGCCTGGCCCAAAGCCCATGGGCACGTCCCGGGGCTGCAGAGAAGCTGCTGCTCTGCACCATGGCCCCACACAAGGCATTGTCACCAGCACTGTCACCTCACAGCTGCACAAAGACCCAGTGCCTGCTAGATGAATTAAAACATCTGGCAAACTCCCCCTTCATGGGTGTCCCACTACGTTACTTTAGCAGTAGCTGAAGCCAAAGTTTATTTTTAAGGACCACACTTTGGCCTCTGGTTTGCAAGCATCACCTGCTCCCTCGTGCCGATTACACTGATGAATTTTTCCCAAGTAGTTTTTTCATAAAACAACCTTTTCAATTCACCCTCCGGTCGGCAGATCCCGCAAGCACGTGTACGAACAACGATGGGGCTATAGGACAGAGTGTGCTGACAGAGCAGGACCACGCAGCCCCCCAGCATCGCCCACCCTCAGTCCCCATGGGACGGCCACAGTGGCGATGGGGGAGAGACAAGGAGGACAACATTAAAAATATATATATCTCTCTCTTAGAAAAAAATCTAACAAATATGTCTGATGATAGTAGAATTTTTTTTAAAAAGACAACCACTTTGCTCCTGAACAAGCTGGCAGTATTGCTTTAGTTAAAGGAGGGGGCTGCTCCTTCTCTTCTGCAGACAAACCAACCCCACGTGTTCACAAACATTGACACTACACCAGTAACAAAGCGCAGCCACTCTCCAGCAAGGCACAGCCACGAGGCCACAGGGATGGCCACGGGGACCCCAGTACAGCCCCCTCCCCGTGCTCCCGCCGTCCTCTTCGGCCTTTTTGGTTTGTCTGCTCGTTTGGCACATTGAGGATGAAGATTCCTGTGGGAACAAAGGCCTCGGGCTCCAGTCTGTGAAATGCCCGTCGTGGTTTTAAGGCAAAGGCGTATCTTTTGGCCGACCTCTTCCAAGACCATGATTGTCAGAACAGGGAAACAAAGCTGGTGCATCACACACAGTCCAGGTTGCGGGACGAGAGCAACCACGTACGTCTGCCCCACGACCACGAAAGCTGGCTGCATGTGGGCTGTTTACATGGCATTTTCCCCTCATTTAAAACAAACCACATTCCTTTAATGAATGGATTTATGAAGAGGAGGAAAACCCCATATACTGGCTCTGGCGAGAGTTGCCCACAGTTTCCTATGGGCACAGGGACGGGCTGTGAAAGCACAGGTGAGGGAGGTGCTTTTTGCTTTAGCAGCAGGACCTCCTCGAGTCTGCTCTGTAAGGCTTGGACGTGGGGATAAGTCAGGGTGTGCCGGGCACCGGTGCAACGTCCGTCTGTGGGAGCAGGTTGTGGGGTGCCCTCCAAAGGGGCTTCCCCAAGGGGTGCCCAGCCATGCCGGGGGGACCCTTCTGGAAAGGCCAGACCCGCTCGCTGCTCTTACCACCACCGCGACGGTGCCTCGGGCTCGGCCAAAGGCTCCATCAGGAAAGCGCAGCCGGGCCACGCTCTTTGCATATACATGGCCATTAAAATAACAATTGTTAAAGTAAAAAAAAAAAAAAAAAAAAAAATACAGCGGCAAGGCTGCGGGTTTCACCCCCGGGCAGCACCGCTGACGGCACCAGCTCCGGCACTGCCTCCATCCGTGACGGTTCCCGGGGAGCCGGCCCCGGCCGGGACCCCCAGCACGGAGGGGTCCCAGCCCTCTCCGCAGGCCAGTGTCCCTTCCTCTACTTCACAGCGAGGGTTTCCCCATCATCCCGATCTCCTCTGGTTTGGCTCCGGGAGAGGTTGAGGGGCTGGCGGGGCTCAGTAAGGGGTCGTGCCTTCCCACTCCACCAGGTACTGCACCTTCCCCTCCAGCGTCACCCGCCGCGCCAGCACCTGGTACTTCTCGCCGCAGACCAGCCTGCCCGCCGCCCCGAAGTAGCTGCTGATGGAGGACTTGAGGTGGGAGAGCGAGGAGTCATCCTCGCTGATGCTCTCGAAAGTGTGGCTGTCGATGCCGTCGTCCGGGCGGTCGGGGCCGCAGGCTGCCTCGCTGCCCTCGGGGGTGCCCCCGGCCGGGCGCCCACCCGTCGTCTCCCCACCTCTCCTCTTCGCCCCCGCCGAGGCGTAGGCTGGCGCTGCCAGCTTGCGCTTGCGGCTGCCCACGGTCCTCTGGCTGCGAGGGAGGGGACAGACGAGGGGTGAGGGCAGCACCCAAAAGGTGCCCCCCCCCCACCACCATGCTGGCTGCGCCTGCTGAGCCTGGAGGGAGCACGCCGGGAATTCGGGTGAGCCCAGCAAGGACGGACAGCTCCGACCCTGCACACCCAGCGAGGCAGCGCCACTTTGGGACCACCAGCCTGTTTTGGGAGGCAGGGAGGAAAGGCTCCCCGATGCGGGACATCCCTGTGCCAGGACACAAGAGTGCTGCAGGGGAAAGGGGCAGCCCCTCGCCCCCCTGGCCGTGCCACTGGGACCCCTCTCTGGAAGGGGGCGAGGGGCCACAGCCCTCACCTGGACTCGTAGGAGAGGCTCGTGGTGGCCGAGCCCGAGGTGCTGGCGGCATCTGTGGAGTCCACGTCCGATAGGAACGTCTGTCCCGAGCTGGCACTGGGGACGGGATGCAGCATCGGCCCCAGCCCGGCGCGAGATGCACCGCGGCCCCCCACCGCCTCCCCAGCCCTGTCTTTGCACTTGAGTGTTTAAACCTCCCTCCCTCGCCACCCGCACCCCCGGGGCCAGCCGCACGGACCTTTTCAGGCTCTGAATTTCATCCAGTGTGAAGTCAAAGATGCTGGCCAGGTGGTGGTTGGTGCTCCAGGCGGAGGTGAAGTCGCTCTGCGCCGCGAAAACAAGCTCACTCGTCACTGCCGAGCGGAGCGGTGCTGCCCGCGGCCCCGGCATCGTCACCCTCTGCCCAGGCACCACCACGCTCCTTCCCACGGCCCCTGGGAAGCGGGCTTGGCACAGAACATTTGCAAACCCCAGGGCGAGGGACAGGGGCTCTCCCTGCCCGTGGGAGTAGGGGAACCTCACGGGGAGCCCCAGGGATGGGTCTGGGGGTGCGGGGCGGGGGGGGGGGTCCCACTCAGCTGCCAAATCCCGGGATGGTCGCGCAGAAGAGGGGGTGAAGGACTCACGCTGGGAATGGCGTCCTCCAGCAGGAACTTGGCCCTCTTGCGCCGTGCCGCTCGCCGCTTCTGCTGCTGGAGCTGCCGCGGCAGCAGGCTGCAAAGCAAGGAGGGGGTGAGGCTGCCGGGTCGCCCCAGGGGAGCGCAGGCATGGGGTGCTGCGGGGGGCTGCCTGGGCAAATTTGGCCACTCACCTGTCTTTATGGACATATTTGCTTTTTCCCCTCTTCTTCAGCTCGCAGGAGCTGCTCTCGCCCACGCCGGGGGCTTTCTCTGGCAGCACCTTGCTGGGGGGGTTCGGTGGGACGCGGATCCGCAGGCGAAAGATGCATTTCTTCTTTTTGATTTCTTTCCCACACAGAAACCTGGGCGGCAGAGGGGAGGAAACAGCCCTTAGCCGGGGGCAGGGGGCGGCCACAGGAGCATCCCGCATCCCATCCTGTCCCCATCCCTCACCCCACCGTGCCCGGGGGCTCACCTGCTTTTATAGCTGTTGAGTGCATTGAGGAGGTGGGGGCCGCGCTCAGAGATTGGGGTGCCCGTCAGCTGCGGAGAGACAGCAGAGGTGAGGCAGGGCTCGGCGCCCGCTGTGGTTATGCAAAAACTAAACAGACGGGGGAACTCGAACTCCGGGTTTCGGCTCCTGCCCAAGGTCAGGGAGCGAGGGAAGCCAAAGCCCAGAGCCACCTGGGTTTGGCATCGGCTGCCCTCGGTGCAGGGGAGGGAGGCGTCTGCAGGGAACCGATCCGTCCCGACGCGGTGACAGGTTTCCAACATGCTTGGGTTTTAGCACTTCTCCCAGCTCTAGTTCCGACCGGGAAACTTGCCAGGTATGACACCCGAACAAAGGGAAATCCCAGTGCAGAGGAAGGCGATTAAGCTCATTCTGAGCAGGAGCCGCCCGTGCCGAGCGCTGCACGAACCGGGGGTTTTGCAGAGATGCCCAAGCTCGTCGGCGCGGGGCTGCTGGCGCGGTGGCACTGCCAACACGCGGGCACATCCCTTTCCACCATTCACCCTTGGCCTGCCCCAGCTGCACCCCAGCCACAGGAAAGATCCGTCGGCTCTGCCCAGGGCTCAGCACTGCTTCCTGGCTCCGGGAGCAGCATCCTCCAACGCTGCCCGATGGGGACACCCTGCTCCGACACCAGCCCCAGGGTGGGTGAACTGTCGTGTGTTCCCAGTGGGTGCAAACACCCAGAGATACCGGGCAGGTGTTTTAAAGCTCCTTCCCTGCCGGGGACCGGCCGAGGAGCAGCCGGCTTGGGCCACGGTGAGCGGGCACTCCCAAAGCTCCGACCCTTTCCCAACAAGCAAGACGCAAACACACCTCGAGGTTGGCGGCCGCTGAGGGGGAAGCCAACCCAAACAAGGGGCAGAACTCACTGCCCCGCCATTTCACCACGAGCACTGCCCTTCACCGGCCAACCTGCCCCAGCCTCAGGGGCTCGGCTGCCACGGGAAAGGAGGGTCCAGTCCCTCCCAGCCGAGGTTTCAGGGACAGCCGGCCATGACTTACATCCCTGGCAGCACCTCTCCCTCCCCGCGGCTGCTCTCCAGCCTGGCCCTGGGCTGCGCGTTTTTACCTTCCCGAGCTGCAGCGGATCCCAGTGGTGGTTCACGAAGGCCAAGATCTCCTCAAAGTCGAAGTACTTCTTCTTGCTCTGTACGCCCAGGTTGTAGAGGGCGAGATGGACGACATCCACCCTGCGGGAGCAAAGGGGGCGAGAGGGTCAGCAGCCCACCCTCTCCCCAGCAAGACGGTACCCACCACGATGCTCTGCTCCGCCAGCGCTGCTTGAGCACAGTGCCCAGCACAAACCTCCCAAAACCTTCTCGCTGGAAGCTGGGACCAGTCCCACACTCCATGGGGGTACCAGCCCTGGCCCAGACACATCCCATGGGATGCTGCAGCCAGGACAGCATCCCCTGAGCTTTGGGGAGGGGTGGGATGCTGCCTGCAGCTGGGGGGAACCCCAAACATCAAGACCCCTGAGCCCAGGAGCTGGAGGACATGCTGCTTCCAGGATGAATGCCCAGTTTTCCAGCTTTTTAATAAGCCCCAGCCGTGTGCTCTTGCTGCAGCTAAGTACGGGAGCAGGATGGCTCTTATTCACATGAAAATAGACTGTCTATTTTAACAACCTAATCTATCCTGTGGGATTTTACACTTGCATCTCTGAAAATGAAAGCCAAGCACCACATCGTGCAGGATTTCCCTTGTTCTTCTTCCAGCCTGCTGTGCTGCTCAGTGCAACATCCCCGAGGCAGCCGCATCCCAGCAGTGCGTTAGCACCAGCACCGCAGACGAGCACAAGGGGAACAGCAGGGAAAAGCTGGGCTGCTGGCACAGTTCATATACTTTTAGACCATCAAGGTACGCTAGAAAGTACCACTTGTACACTTGTATTTAATCGCAGAATTTGACAACTTGTCACCTGATAGCTTTCTGCAGTTATCTTCTGGCAAATTTGTACCTTGGCTCCCGGACAAACAGTAGGTTTGGGGCTTATCGAGAAACAGCTTCCCTGGGAAACAGCCCCGTGGGGCTGGGCAGGAGAAGCTGCACACCCGGGACCCGCAGCCGACCAAAGGCCCCAGCTCAGGGCTGTGCTGGGATGAGCGGGACATGCTCCGCGAACTCATGCTGCTGAAACCCAGCTCCGGGGCTGGCCCCAGGGCGAGGGCTCGGCAGCACCGGGCACCGGCCAGCCCGGTGCCCTACGGCCACCCCGGCACATTCCAAAGGAGCTGGGGCCATTTCTTACCATCTCAAGGGCAGGCGCTTGATGTATTCAGGTCCCTGGTTGCATACGGAGCAGAAAAACACATAGAACCTGGAAAACATCAGGGAGGGAGAGCGCTGGGGGTGGGGGTTGGGGTGAGGACAGTGCTCCAGGTGCCAACAGCGACAGCACGGCCGGGAGGAGCGGGGCTCTGCGGGACCGGGATCGGGGAGATACAGCCTGGGAATGTATCCGTGCACGAGCAGCTCCAACATCCAGCACCCACCCAGCAAAGTCCAGAAGGGACGTACCGGTCTCCGAACATCATGGGGTCGTTGAGGCACTGGGTGCAGGCTTCATGGAACCACTGCCGGCAGCGGTAGCACTGCAGCATCTTCAGGTACCACCTGGGGAGGGAGAGGAGGTGGGCGATGGCGAGGGCAGCATGTGGCAACCACTGCCCCAGCCCCCTCCCAGGCATGGACATCCCCCCCCGGCCAGGGGGGCCAGAAAGTCTGGCCCTAACTTGTATTTTCTGCCACCACGGAGGTGGGTGCAAACGCCTCCGGGAGCGAGCGGAGACCCCGATGGCAGAGGCAGCACAGGCTGCAAAGCCACTGGCCCCAGAGCAGTCCCCTGCAAGCTAGGGACTCCTCTCTCGGGGGCAAAAAACCCCCACCCCGATCCCATCTTCCTTTTGCGAACGTTTTTCCCCACAAAACCAAATGCAACGACCCTCCCGGCCCGCAGGCAGGGGGCTTACTCGCCGGGGCCCCCGCAGTAGCAGTAGCATTGCTGTTGGTTGGTCCGGTGCGGGGAGTCCCACTCGAGCAGGTCGGGGTTGTAGGACAGCACCATCTTGACGGCTTGCAGCGTCTTGGCGATGGCTCCCTTCTTCAGGGCCCCCCCCTTCTGCAGGAGCGAGCAGGACGGGGAGGGGGTCAACACAGCCGCCCGGTGGGCCGCATCCTGCACCGCTGCACTGAGGGTGGGCAGCACGCGGAGCCGGCGGTCCCGGGTAGCCCACTCACCCGCACAGCCAGGGCGAATATGCAGCGGCGGCAGAACCACGGCGTTCCCAGCGGACCCTCGCCGCCGCTCGCCACCGGGACGTGGCACTGCTGGTGATAACCTGCGGGAGGGCTCGGCATCAGCGCCACCGGTCCGGCCGGACCCTCGCCCTCGGGGCGACGCGCCCGCACTCACCCAGCCCGCACTTCCCGCAGATGAGGATTTCGTTCATGGGGCCCGACGTCTTTCCCAGGCAGATGTTGCACTTGGGTTCCTCCCCGGGGACGCCGGCTGCGGGATGGGTACGGCAGAGTTGGAGACACGCGAGGCGCAGCCACGTCTCCGTGGCGCCGGGAAGGAACCCCCGGCGTGGCGGTGGGAAGGGAGGAATGGGGTAGCACTCACCATGCTGGATGTCCTTCCAGAGGACCCAGTACTTGGAGTTGTCCTCAAACGTGACGAGGCAGCTCTGCTTGGAGCCGCTCACCTGCGGGGAGAGAGCGGGAAGAACCGCCGGGCGTCAGCTCCCATTCCCAGTGCTTCCCTCTTTTCCCTGGTGAGTGGCCCTGCCTCTTGTGGCTGCGGGAAGTCGGGTTTGGGCTGTGATCCCCAGGGGCAGGACGTCAACCCAAAACGCTCCCTCTGACCAAAGGCATGTCGGGGCCCAGGCCAGCACCCCTCCGAGCCGCGAGCCGACCCAGGGAGCGGCACTAGCTACGCTTTGGGTGCCCACGTTACCCTTTTGGGTGCCCACGTTACCCTTTTGATCTTTCCGAGGTAATAGAGCCCGTCGGTCCAGCGGCACAGCACGTACTGCCCCTCCGTCAGCTTGACCATGAGCTCTCGGCAGCCGCTGCCCCTCCGCGCCGAGGCGGCAGCCGGGGCTTGCTGGACACGGCCAGCGGCCGCGTAGACATCCCGGATGATGGGGTTGAGCTTGGCGGTCTCCATCAGCAGAGCCTGGAAGGGACGGACGCACACGCTCGTCGCCCTGCCCTCGCGTCGCGACACAATGCGCCCATCGGCCGAGCAACGGCATCCCGGAGGGTTTTGCCGGGGAGCAGCAAGCCCCGGGCTGGTTCAGCCCCACCAGCGGGGGCTCAGGACCCGCAAACCAAGTGCTGACGAGCCGGGTTCATGCGCGTGAAATCCAAGGGAGCAGCCGCGATCTTTGCTACTGTTCAGCAAGAGTGAATTAACCCCTCAACTGCCTCGGCTCCCGCAGCACAGAGCCACCCCGCCGCGGGGCACGGGGACACGCCACAGGCCTGCACGGCCCCAGCCTCGGGAAGGGGCACGTGAGGGATAACAGCTTTAGATTTAACGGGATTTTTTTTAATTCACAGTTTCCTAGCAGTTTCGCGGGCTCCCAAAGCAACGAGACAGCTGCACGAGCGGGGAAGCGGCAGCACTACACGCAGCGAGCGAAACCGAGCGGCCGAGTTTCGCTGCCGGAGGGTTTGAAGCGCGCAAGGCGGACGGCGGGTGCTCAGCCGGCCACCCCCACCCTGCGGCCGGAGTTGCGATCCTTAACAGACATCGCTAAACCGACCTGAAAGTCCCTTTTTCCCCCTGCTTTGCTGCTCCCATCGCAGCGACACGCGTGACCTCACGCTGCCGATCACGACCCCAAAACCTCACCGTGCTGGAAGCTCTGCCCGGATCGTGCTATTAATAACGCTCTCGTTTCCCGAGAACAGCCTGAACGGGCAGGAGCAATCGAACTTACAGTAAACCGGGTGCGACCCAAAAAAACCCCAAAAACAAAAAAAAAAACCAACAGAAAAAGCGAGCTCCTCCGGGACCGGGGCTGGCAGGAGCCGCAGCAGCGAGCTGCGACATGTCACCCAGCGGGATTTTCGCGTCGGGAGCGATTGATTATGAAAGCGGAGGCGGCTCCGCGCCCCCCCCCCCCCCCCTCCCCCCGGAGGCCCCCCGGGGGGGGGGGGCGGGCACGGACACGG